ACCATACACCTTTTGCAATTTTCACAGTCAAATAGGCAGTTTGAACGGCTGCATGGGAAAAACAATGATTACCACAATATAAAAAGAAAGAATATCTTACAAACAAATAGATAATCAAATCACGCAGGAACCACCCATTTTGAATTGGGGGGAAAAGTGAAACAGCTCAAATTAAAACAATCAAACAAGATCCAGCTATAAGCAAATAAACTGAAAATTAACCAAAAAGGGGAAAATGCACAAACTTGAAATTAGAAGGTCTAATTCTACCATTACACAGAAAAGGTGAGGTCAAGGGCGAAAATTTAACCCGCAAGATACCGAATTTGAGACAGTAATCAACACAGATGAAAATTACAGTCCACAGAAACAAACCTTAGGGTCAATTGTCAACGGCAGTAGCAAAAGAAGAGCTTTGGAAGAAGATGAGTTGCAGGAATCTAGAGTAGCAAACGCAAAGGAGAGAGAATTTTTTCAAGGACCCTCCATAGCTAGAGAGAGAAGCTTTGTTTTGTCTTTGTTCAAGAAACTGGAGAAGCTCAACACGAGTGAAAAATAAAAAATGACGAAGGAAGGGTAAATTCGGTACTTCGCCCACGTGATGTTTAATTTCTCCCGAATTTCTCATCAACGGCTCAGATTGGTTGCTTCAACCCAATCGCGGCCGTTGATACGCAGCAGAGAAAAATAATTACCTGTCGCTCCTGCAGTCTGGTAAATAATGACAGCCAATTATGCCCTTTCACAGTTTCGTGAAGGACAGCGTTATAGAAATTTTCGGCCAGAGACTTAAATTACTGGTTTGTCCCTGAGTGATGTTGCAGTGACGATTGTGCCCTTCTCCTCTTTGGCTTTTTTCGAGTATTTAATTATATTTTTTTTTATTCATAACTATTTTGGTCATGTACTCAAACATTTTCATATTGTGTTGTAATAGAGTTTGAATTTTTAATTTTTTCAATTGAATTTGAAGGTTGAATTTTAAGTTAATTTGAATTGAAGGTTGTTTTACATTCTAATTCTCTAACTTAAGCTCAGAAATTTTATGGCGCCCATATGGGCACCATATGGTGCCATAATCTCACGATCCAACGCCTAATATCCATTCTATCAACTTAAGCCTAACTAACTTTATATTTTTACATAATGTAAACTAAAATACTATTATTCTGAAATTTATATTTTAGATAATTATAATAAACAATTGTAGAGATATTTTGTAAAATTACCTTAATAATAAAATTAATTCACTTAATCTACATTTATAAAAAAATTTAAATAAATTTATTTTAAATTAAAAAACAGTGAAAACTAAGTTTAAATGTATAATATAAATATTATATTAATTAATAATATAAATATGTAATAAAATTAGAAAATAAACTATTTATAAATTACTTTATTAATTTTAATTAATATTATTCTTATAAAATTTATTATTTTTAAATTATTTATTATATTATTATTTTGAAAATATATTATATAAATATTATTTTGATTTATTTTTATTTATAATCTAAGTATGTAATAAAATTTAAAAATAAAAGTATTTAGAGTTAGTCTAAGTTTTTTCTAATCATGACTACTGATGATGCTTGGAACTATGAAATTTAGATACAATGAAATACAAAAAGTCAATAGTGCAGCTTAGCAAAAAAACTCAAGTAATTTTCTAAATACTTTTTTTTTTTTTTATAATTTTATTAAATATTTTGACATCGATCAATATAATATTTAAATTCTTAAAATTCAAATTTAATTTTTTTAACTTGTAAAATTAATTTTGCTAAAAATTTTTGCATAAATGTTACTTAAAGGAATGAATTTCTTACTAAGCTAATTTTTCTAAGATATTTAATAATTTATTTTATTATAAGTGTTAGTTTTATATATTCTTTTTTTTTTCAAAAGATAAAATTTATTCATGAATAATATTTTCAGTAATTTTATTTATAAATAAATAAAATAATTTTTATAAATAGTTATTTTCTAATGTCATTACATATTTATATTATCATTTATAATAATATTTAAATCATACATTCTTAAAATTTAGTTTTCAATATTTTCTAACGTTTAAAATTAATTTCGTTAAGATTTTGCATAATGTAAATTATATAAATTAATTCTCTTATAAGATAATTTTACTAAAGATATTCAACATTTTTTATTATAAGCATTTAAAATATAAATTTCAAAATAATAGCATTTTAGTTTTTATAGTTATGCCAAAATACAAAGTTAGTTGGAGTCTTAAATTGAGAACTAGAATTTAAAAGTATGTCTTTAATTTAGAACACCTTAAAATTGAAATATTCGGTTGAGAAAGTTGAAAATTCAGACTCTATTATGACGCAATACGCAAAAATCAAGTCATACAATGGAATTTCTCCAAAACTCGAGGGCGTCCCATATTTTGGTCTAGGCGCTCGGGAAATTAGGCTCTACCTACGTTATGTTTAGCCAATATAGAAGGTTGTGAAGTTAGTCACTTTTAGACTAATTAGGTGGTCTAGATGTTATGTCCCAACCTGCCGCGTAGTGCCTTTTAAAATCTTGAATTAAGCAACTAGGCTCGAGTGGCGTACCATTGTACTTTCCATAATCATAATAATTTATGAAAAATGCTACAAGTACATAATAAATGTACATAGAAGTGTACATAGCACTCACATGGAGTGGGGTCCACTTGATTTTTTATTTTTGGTGGGCCCCACTCAATGTGAGTGTTAGGTACACTCCTATGTACAATATTATGTACCTATAGCATTTCTCATAATTTATTATGTTAGAAAATTTTATATTTTATATATAATATTTTTAAATATAGTACGTTTCTTAAATGATTAATTTGTCTGATATTAACATTATTTGTTTGAAGGAGAAAAGACACTTCACCTAATCAAAAATTAGATCGTATTTTTTT